AAAAATTACTACGTTCCTTGAAAACCAACATAGTTTGAAGATCCACGACACTTTTCTCTGCAAAGGTAGCAATTTTTTACTATAGTATTTGCTCTTGCTCTGCCAGGGGAATATTATAATTTCAACTTGTGCTGCATCTCGCACACACAAACGTCGGGGTTCTCTCTCTCTCTCACTGTATCTTTGGTGTCGCGTTACGTTGTCCGCGCGCGCGCCGCATCCTCGATTCGCTCCTCTATGTGCATTCACACACATACACAGACTCACATTTGAAAGCGTGTGTGCACGCGTGTACTCTAACTCCGATGCAGTAACTATACTGCTTCTACTATATGCGTACATACATAACTATACATGCTATATGCACATAAGTATGTGTGTGTGTGTAGAGTGCGCCAAGCGCGTCTCGCTTGGCCACGCGACCGGTATGCGTTACACTGCTGCACGAGCGTGTAGAGAGCCATGCAATGTCGCGTCTTACTGCCGCTGCTGCTGCTGCTGCTGCTCGTCCTCGCGTAGCATATAAGCAAGCAAGCAAACATGCGGGCGTTGACCGGAAGTCACGACGATTTCCCACGAGGTGAGTCCTATATACATACACATACACACACACAAACACGTACTCGCGTTGCATATCCTTCTCCTCTTTGCAATTGCCTTTACCGTAGTATACTACTATACGTGCGTATATACCGATATGTAAGCGCGCGCACACGTTGTTCTCTTTGTGCGTATTATACACGTCCTTCGTCGTTCGTATACATATTGCGAGTATGCATTTGTCTAAGCGCGAATATACATATACCAGCTACTCGTGGATACGGTGCGGGTATATGATTGAAGAAAGAAAAAAAAGGAGTAACAAAAAGGATGGAAAAAAGAACGATGCAGATGAGCTCGCTCGCGAGTCGAGTCTCGAGATTCGACTCTATTACCGGCCGTGTCTGCCTGAGCTGGATGAATATGAATCCGTGCGATCACGTTCACATATTATAGGCATATGCGCAGCTCATTGCCCCGGCGAATGCATCAATAACTTGACGCGTACATATAGCTGCTGCTGCTGAGGATTATGATTTACGTCGCGGCGTGATGATATTATTACAGACCGAAAAACCAGTTGTGTGTGTGTGTGTGTGTGTGCGAGTGCAGCGTATAAGAGTCGATGCGAATATATGCAGCATGTATCATAATACCTATCGCGAGATAGTCGCGACGCGCAACCGATAACGAGCTCCTCCATGGGTCTCTTCTTCTCTCGTAAATTAAATGTGCGTAGCTATATGCAGCTGCGTATAAGTTATAATATTATAAAATCGCACTCCGAGAGTAACTCGCCGCTGTATAACGAGAGCTCACCAGTAATACTTTGATTTAGTCTTTGGCGATAGTGTCGTAATTTTCATACCGATTACAGTGTACATTTCAACTTACACAAAAATGTTCAGTTATTATGACTCGATTTTGCTTCGCGTGTTCGGATTTCACAATTTTTGCTAAAGTGTTACAGCATATTTTCCACTCATTTGTCACATGGCATATTTGAACGTGATTACATTTGGACCTCATGTTTTGACTTATACAATATTTTTTAGCTTTGCCACTTGCAGATTTACAGATTAAGGTACTCGCCATCTAGTGGTGAATACTTGAAGTTTTGCTATCGTATTTACAGTGATTGGAAACTGATCGACATTTTTCGAAACGATGAAGTCATTTGCCGGTCGATTAAAATGCGCTTAATATTAGTAAGATAATTGTTAAAGAAAAATTGTCAAAATTAAGGCATTATTGTGGTATTATTTTTAAAACATTAAATAACCATTTTTCTTGAGCACGCCATTATTAAATTTGAACATTTCTACCTGTACACTTCACTGTGACAATCATTAGGTTCCAAAAATATGTTATATACATGCACATGGATCTGCTGATTATACGATACGCATAATAATAACTCCAAAAAATAAACTTCACGCCAAACACGCAGCAAAGACAAAAAATGAGAAGACTTTTGAATTTCATCCGTATGACATCACGATGTCGTTTTCCATCGAGAGTGTCTCGTAGTATATATTATTCGCTCGTACAAACGTACACATATAATAATATATACATACGTATTATAACCACACACCGTAGTCGAGGCACATGGCTCTCGCTATATATTTATATATATTTATTCACCGTGGGAGAATGGAGCATCTGGAATGCGAACTGACGCGCTCGCGCGTTATTGAATTTTCGCGCGCGAATAAATTGCTACAAGCTCGACGCGCAACGACGACGACGACGACGACAAGCCTTATATACAATATAGCGCGAGCGCACGTTTCGAACTTTCGTGCGCGCTAAGCCGGCATGTCTTGTTTATATTGCGCGCTGCCAATGTGACTTCGAACGGCTCCACTTACACACAGACACATAAAGGTTGATAAACTAAAATAAAATAAAAAAACGACGTTTTAGCTAAAAAATGCTCGAACCATGCTCGAGTGCTTACGCACGCGGTACACACATACACGCGCACACATAAAAGCTCGAATCGCCCACTTAGCGCGGCTATCGAAGAGTTTAATCTCCGCCGCGAGCTTGGCTTTTACAATTTATAATAAATAAATACGTATCTTATCTCGTATAAATGTGTATGTGTGTGTATATGTGTGCCTTCTCTGCCGAGGCTTGAGAAGAAAATCGCGAGGCGAAAAAAAAGTCACGCGAGCAGAGCTCCGCTGCGAGCGCGCGCGCGCACAGATATGCAGCACGTAATATATCTGTATAAATGCATGTGCGCGCACATATATGTATACGTGTGAATTAATCAATCACGGCTCGCAACATACGTATATTATATACCTAGTGCGCTTTAATGCGCCCCAACTCTCATTGTATTTAAATATTATCTCTGTAATGAGCTTGTACGCAGATATAGATATGTGCACGCGCCGCGCGTATGCTGCACGTGTGTGTTCGTGTCTGTGCTAGTGTGTGTACGAGCGAGCGAGCGGTGCGCGTATAACCCGATGCACAAATTACATTCGACGAATAAATCATGTGAAAATTTCCCAACGCTTCATCCATCACGAGTAATTATAAGTTCGTATACACAATATGAGATGCAAGGACAGAACACTTGCAGATATATATTTCGAATGCCGAGGGGCCCTTTTTTCCGGTGAGAACGCGAAGATTCGAGATCTCTTTTGTAATACGTATCAATCGATATTGCCGTAAGTTAAACCTCTTTAAATAAATTATGAATCTTAAGTTTTATATTCGTAAAGGACAAGAGGATCATTATAAGCACACCCGTTTAAGGATAAGTATATCACTACGACGATTGCTGCTGTTAGAAATTCAACTTTCAGAATGTCACATAAACATTGTCACCAGTGCAAGTTAAAATACTACGCAGGAACGTATTGGAGCTCGTTGGAAATCCTACGTATGCGCACGAACGATCCCCGAGTCTATGCACGCGTGGGTGTCGAGCTTCGCGCGTGTATCTATTATGTAGATTACCAAGCTGCAGCGACACACGACAGTTGCACGTTTTCGCGCGTCGAATTCAGGATGTTGCTGCTGCGCAACCGATCGCGGCAAGAAGAGTTATACTTTTCTCGATCCTCGAGGCAGCTTTTTCACACGTCGGGGTGATTGAGAGAGAGAGCCGAAAATGTCACGATCTCGCTGTGCTCGATGTGTTGCATTCGTATGTATGTATAAGCTGTTTTTACGGCGCGCGAAACACGTATAAATATAAATCATAGCAGGTGAAAAAATAATTTATGTTTTCGTGGAGATCGTCGTCGTCGTCGTCGTCGTCGTCGCCGCGCTCGGTAACATAAAAATAAATAAAAAAAAGATAAAGGAAGAAAAAAGTCAAGGGATCAAAGGGGAGCTGCGGCGGGAAAAATAAATGAATAAATGAATAAAACGTAAAACGGCGACGTACGACGACACATAATCGAACGTATAATCTCCTCTCATATATCCGACGCGCTAATCTCATCGTTTCGGCTACCGTACATATGCGCGTGGCAGTGAAAGAGAGAGAGAGAGAGAGAGAGAGAACGAGCGGCTCTGTGGCAACTCGACGCCGAGAATACCTTTCTTCAAGTGAATATATACTCCGACTCCTGCACACGTGTGTTTGTGTGAGTATGTGTGAGTGTGTACATATGCACACACAAGCAGAAACCTCAGTCGAGCCGCTCGCTCGCGTGTGTGTGTGTGCGCGCGCGCGCGCGCGATCGCTTCATAAAGCTTTTGCCGATGATAAATCTGCAACACATAGTATATAGCCGGCTAAAGCTGTGTGGCGGCAACCCTTTTGCGAAACGCGCGAACGAAAACGTGCCGACCACACGGACGTGCCGCCTCGTAAATATTCCCTCCTTCCCTTTACCCCAGCCCCCCAGCAGCAACTCTTTTCCTCTTTTTCTTTCTCTCTCTCTTTCTCTCACTTGACTTGCACTTGTTGATTTTTGCTTTGCCTCGTTTTTTTTATTCTCTCATTATACTTTGCCCGAGAATGAGAGAGAGCCGTAAAGAGACTTTTGGTTGTCTTCGCTGTGCTGCAGTTGTGTGCTGCACTGCACGGGCGCGGTGTGCGACGAGAATGGAATGTAAAAAGGTGAATAAAGTTGAAAACAAAAAGCTCGTCGAAAGAGCGAGGACCAACTGCGCAGCTGCTGATAAAGTGTAGAAAAATGGAGCTTTATATGGAAATGTAAAGACACTTGTCGTTGCTGTGCGCGAAAGTATCTTTTTTTACGACGCTACAACGGTGATTCATACCTTAAACCTATACATACACATAAACACGTAAACCCATACGTATACACAACACACGGTGTATCAAACACACGTTGCATCGAATCCGCTTTGATTTCATCCTTTTGGCCGCGCGAGCAGACCCAATGACTCACGTTTATATACAAGTACATAAACGGTGTGTATTCGGTTTAAGAGGAAAAAAAATTCGTCATTCCACTCACCTCAAGTGCGTCCTGTGCGGTTTGCAGGTAATCGCGAAGCATGGCTTCTTGAATCCCGCGCCATTCTTGTCTAGGATCTTCCAGCTGTGTCGTTTCTGCGCGATGTAAACAAAAAGAAAATTGTTAATTTTTCTTGATCCAAGGAGTTGTAAAAAATAGTATGCAACGTTGATTACTTACGGTTAACATGATTAATGTAGTAAACACCCACGTGTTTGTCGCAAGCTTCCTCCCAGCCGAGTGGCAGTTCGTTACCGATGCAATCGGCGAAGGTTTGGGGTTTGGTATATCTGCAAGCACCAAAGAAAAAATTTGTTCAATTATCTGTGACGATATAACAATTATGCATATTTCAAGTAATTTCATGATTCAATAGCACTTAAGACGTGTAATTTTCAATTTCAGATAATTCTATGGAAATCCAAGTGGAAAAGATAATTGGGATTTTTCACTGCTGCCGAGATTTCTTCTACGAAACAGAGAATTGAAAGTAATAAACCTAACGCGAGATTAAAAAAAGTTATGTTTTCACGGAAAAAAGAAAAAAAGAAGAAATTGAACGATCATCGGAAATGATGACCAACGCACTAGCGCAAAATTAACAGCTGCGAAGAACGGAATGAGTCGCATTTCCGGACACGTTGTTCATTCTTACGAATCTTTTGTTGGTTCTCGCGCTCGAGCTCTCTCGCCCGGCGCCGGAAATTCCATCCGTATCAGCGATAACGAAGTTATTTTTCACGCTATAATGAACGATTAAATTCTTAATGAGCGCGGCATACTCGTAGGCCTTTCTCTTCCTCGTTTAGTGCATTTTTTCGTTTACTTTTTGGTGTCATTATGCTCTGCCGGTTAAATATACGGAGGAATCGAAAAAATCAGCTCGTCAAGTATAGCGACGCGTCCGAGCTTGCGAACGACCGAACGAAGCGGCCCGACAAAAAGTCGAGATAAATTTTCCACGTATGAACGATGACCGAAAATAATTTTTTCCACTGAATAATTTTTTTCATTAAAATATGCATGACGTACGAGGCTACACAGCGTGTGACTTGATTGAAAAATCAGTGTTGTTTTTTTTTCAACGTCGCGCAGTCAAAGTCCGAAATTCAAGCCACGCGCGCGCGCGCCAGCCGGTCGATGCAGCGAAATTCCAAAGTAATATAACTGCGCATAGCGCAACAAAAATTGCCGTCACACACATTATTTCGGTGGTCCCCGATGGCGCGGATGCTTATGCACACATATAGCTCGTGCTCGCGAGAGAGAGAGAGAGAGAGCGGTATGTAAAACGCGAACCGTTAGCATTGATCGGTTTCACTTTGATTAAAAAAGACGACGACGAGGAAGAGAGAAAAAAAAGAGGGCACGAAATGCGACCAGGCTGCAGCCCGTCCGTCCCGTCGAGCTCGCGAAACCGTTGCAGCAGCAGCAGCTGCTGCTCACAAATATCAAAACGAGTTCCCGTTAATGAAGATGATTTTGCGGTTCAACGTATTTTCTCTCCCTTCTCTCTCCTCCGCCTACTGCTTCGCGACGGCCGGCGAGACAGGCGTGTTGGGCGCGATTTCAATTTTTTTTCTTCTTCAGAATATCCATTTCGGATAAATATCGATTTTTCGATTGAAAAATTTAAAATACCGTACTGGGTTTTGCCAAGCTTCGAAAATAGGTTTACAGGGGTTTCGAGTTGCGAGCTTTTCATTTTTTTGGCACACACACACAATGTTGCAACCAAGCGAAATCAATCATTTATCTTCACACCTTCACAGACCTATACTCAATTTGCATTCGTAAATCTCGAAGTATACGCTGATAGGTGTTACGTGCCAGCCAATACGTACGAATAAGCATAAGGTGCTATACGCATTGCAGCAAGCTCGTAAGGAAATATTATAATGATATAGCGTGCTGCAAGATATACTTTTTCGTTCCATATTATTTTTTTACATCCCAAGTCTCCTGCGTGCGCGCGCTCGAGGCAAATTCCAATACTCGAGACAGATGTTTCGCTGCCGTGTACGTTAACGATTCGTACACACCGGCCACATATAGCACACACGTGCATATATATCTCGTCAATGTCAAAGAGATTTCTGGATATATACCTTGAGTTAATTTCGCGCGATCGAGCCGCGGCTCGAGCGAAACTCTGATTGATACAGGCCGAGGCTCTCGCTGTGCGTCAGATAATAAGTGTAACAAACGTCAATTGCGAGCAGTCACTATCTTATAATATATCCACGCGCCGATGCACGTGAGCGCGGTCAAATAAATATAGCGAAATTGATGCAATCATTCGATTATATTAGTGGCTATATCGGACGTGCTTTAATTATCTCGTACAGCACAAACCTACAAAACTGCAAAGCTTTACCATAAAAAATATTATACATATCCCTGAGTAAAGTTTCTGATCGTCAGCCTGGAATTCGCATTGTTTCTTTTCTATTCTGCGCGTTCGATATGCATTATATACCTTTTAATAAAAAAGCCTATATCCTATCCACACGAAATCTCCCGTTGACACCCCGTGGTGATGATTTATCATACAGGCCCATATACGCACGTCGTTCTCTCTTTTGCGTTTTTTTCGCCTTCCTTGAAATAACTATTATTTCGGTTGGTGCGAAAATATTCGCCGGTAGCTTGCGTCGATAACATCGGCTTTCAACTCCACTCTCATCGTCGTCGTCGTCGTCGTCATCATCATCATCAAGTTAAGCATATTTATCGCGTCTCTCGAGTTTTATAACCCAGAGCTGTATACGCGCGTACATATACCTATACATAATATCCTTGCCGGAGGAAAGCCTAAGCTCTCCACGCACATGCACGTCGTCGTCGTGCATTCCAACACGCATCGAAATCTCTCCTTTTATGCCGTGCGTATATATATAGTACCTATACATACATAGAGCGCGTATATAGTTTTATACCTTACGGCACATGCGCGCGCCAAAGCACCGAGGAATTCTATATAGATGCGCTCCACCCCCTCATTTCCCCGGAGGGCGTCTCGCGAGCGCTCGCAGAACACCTACTACATATATAGCTGCATAACGCGCGAGTCGAATTTTTCTTTTTTTTTTCTTTTAAGCTTTAATGCATTGAGCTATATGAGAGCGAACGATGGAATGTGCGCGAGTGGTAAATGAATCCGATGAAACGATGATTACGCTGCTGCTGCTGCCAGTGTTGCTGTTGGCCAGTTATTTTATTTCGCCCAGACGAAAATCGTACATCGTTTTTGTTTTTTAGAAGACGACGAAGGAATTTTTTTGCATTATAATATACGATGTGTTTACAAACGCCAGAAATATTTTCTATATCGTACACGCGTGCAATATATCGACGCCTGCAGTGAGTCAGAAAGTAACAGCCAGAACTGCGAGAGCAATAATTGACTCACCAATACAATGACTGGGCAACGTTGATATACACGCGAGATAGACGCGAGCATTTTTTTTAATAAAAAATAAAAAAGAATCGGTCATTTTTTGACAGTTCAATTTCTCACTCGTAAAATATTTTGGCCGTGACAAAAGCGTGCACGCGTATTGTATACACGACTCCGATTTACTTTGCTCCGCTTGTCTGTATGTGTGTGTGTGTGTGTGTGTGTGTGTGTGTGTGTGTGTGTGTGTATGATAAACGTACACATAATGCAGTTTTCACTTTCACTGGCAAATTCCAGGCACATGCGGCGGGCGGAGGTTCGCAGCCAATTCGCGCGCAAGCGACAACTCGCGACTTTTTGAGCTCTCTTGTTGGAGCCTGTTGCTGCTGCTGCAGTGTAAGTCGTTAGGTAAGAGAGCGAGAGAGAGACCGAGAAAAGAGAATCGTAAATAATACGCGCGCACTTGAAAGCCATATAGCCTAGCTCGCGAAAGCTAGTTTCCGCGCCGCGAGGAGAGACTCGTACACATATACCTAGGCGCCAGCGCCTTCTAATGTATATAAACTGCGCCGTGTGAGAAGCTGCTGAGCCGAGTGAATGAGCGAGCGTATACGAATTCCGATGTATCGCAGCCACCACCGCACTTACTACTACTATGTACAAACTCGCTCTCGGTCTCGCGGACTTTCTTCAATCTATAAATCTCGATCTGTCTTATGGAGCGCGTGCGAAAGAAAATCTCCTATTGTACTGGTACAGCGCAGCCCCACGCGCTCGTCTCGAGTTGATGGTAAAACCTATATAATATTATTATATACACCGATGTCTCTCGCTACAGAATCCAATTGAAAAATCAAGAGGATTTTCACTGGTGCGCTTATTACAGCTACAGACACTTCGACATGGTCACGAGCTGCATCGTGTAACGTATAAGGCAGTAGCGCACGATTATTGTACTCGCACAAGCAAGTCCCATTGTCATCGCGGCTCTCGGCTGTCGCGCACGACAACGGCGAGGAGAAAAACATATACATACGCGAGACACGCGGCGCGCGCGAGTTAATAGTTTTATATACAAGACAACTGTCTCGCTGCTGCCACACGGTGGACGTTTAATACATGTGTGTGTATGTTTATAACCGCGAATGATTCTAATATAATATATGTCGCCCTTGGCCTTTTAACGACGAGAAATAAGATGGGGAGAGAGAGAAAAGAACGAGACTCCGAAAGAAATGCAGCTGCTGCATCGAGAATCGATTGCATAACGAATGTCGCGCCGTCGACACAGAGAGAGATGCACGAGTCCCAGATGAAGATAATATTATGCATGTATTTATGTTTACTAACAATCCCGCATACGCTACGTCAGAGATGCGGATCGAGTCTCTCTCTCTCGCTCTATTTGCGCAAAAACCCATCGAGTCGTAGTAATATACATAAGGCAAATATATGTTTTCTCGAATCAAAATTATATTTCAGAAAAAAAATGATATCCCAACGCGCAGAAATGTAAACTCGCTTGTCCCTCGATTATGTGTGTCCTCCATGGGCACGCACACAGACACAAACGAGCTTAAACGTACGTCATATATAAACTGCACGTAATATATACATCGAGCCAGGCCAGTTCATGCAGCAGCAGCAGCAGCAGCAGTGGAATTCCGATCATGCACCTTGTATAAATTGCTCATTACATTAATTCTCGACCGAACTGACACGCAATAGTTATTATAAATTTCACGCAAATATAAATATATGAATTTTTTTGCAGTACACCGCTCGATTCTCTCGCTCATACGTTTTGTACGCGTTTTATATTATAATATACGCGTCCATGATATGCATGTGCACTGCATCGTACGCGCGCACATGCGTGCGTGTCCGTGT